GTAGATTTCAAAGAATCTGTTCAAATATAATAATAAATTCCTTATTTCGTTTTTTTTCGATATGATTAACGAAAAGAAACTTTTCTGCTGACGGAAGCTGTGTCTTTGATCTAAAAATAGTTTACACTCCGTCAATAATCTCGTTCAATTTTCCGGTTAAAGCACATTTATAAAATATAAATTTTTGCGTAAGTGGAAAAAGTTTTATTTCTTGAAAGATGAGAAATTTATCGATAACGAATAAGAATATGCAACGTTGCTTTATACTGTACAAATGTAGAGAAAGTTCGATAAAGTTGTTAGTATTTAAAATTCCTTTAAATTTATACAAAGATTTTTTTTTAGAATTACATAAATTACATTACATACGAAACAAAATATCTTTAAGAAATACTGCCTCTAGCTAATAGATGGAGTAGAGTGTATCTTCGAGACGATCTATGTGTATTGAGCGAAAAATAACGTCAAGTACAAAAAAAATCCAAATAATTTTTCTTTGTAAATTATTCTTATAAATTATTAAATAGTATTTCTTTCCATGACAAATTATGGCTTTTTTTAGCTACTCCATATTGCTATATTGTTGTCCATTTGCGTCTAATCAAACTTTTCCAAAGATTTACATCGGATTAAGATCAGGACATAGAGCTGGCCGATTAATAAAAGACACCCCATTAAATGAAATTCATTCATATGTAGTTAATTGTGTGAATAGAAATATTGCCCTGTTGAAAGAACTATAAATTTCCAACAATACGTTCGGAGAAAGGAAAGAGATTGCTTGCCAACATGTGTTGATAACCATTTTCTTTTGTATGTCCTTGTAAGAAATCAAATGTAGTCTTTCCTTGACAACTAAAAACACCTCACATAATAACTGAGTCACCATCTCGTTGTCGTTCAGAATATAGTTCCTTCTCGAATGATGCCAATAGTGGTTCCAACCATCTCTATCAAGGTTGAATTTTTTCGTCACTCCAGATGATTTTTTCCACTTTTTCCTTGCCCCATCAAAAACGTTTCTCCTTGTAAGTGGTTTAGTGATGGGACAGGTTTTCCTGTCTTATATACATGTTTTCATAAATTTTCTAATAGTTGACTTGCCAACATTACACTCGAGTGTTACTGCTAACTTCCGAAATGACATTTTTACTGGCAATCTGGCAAACAATGGTTCGTTTATATCTGTTTGTAAGCTTTGAAGGTTGTCATGTTGATTTCTTTCGATCATATTGATCTTCAAGTTTAACAACGTTGTCGATTACAGTAAATGATTGATTTAATTTTTTAGAAATTGCTCTTGCAGAGTTAATTTTTACCTCTAAGAGCAAGAATTTCACCTTTCTGTAAGTTCGTTAGGGGTGTTCCTCGGCCCCAAGTTAATTTTTCATCAAAACAAGCAAATTAACCTTTGTATTTTGTAATCCTCGTATTTAAAACACACAATTTAAATATTTAATAAATATTAAATTTTAATTTTTGTTTGAATACTTAAAAATATACTTGTGCATATTTTATACTAAAGAAATTCTATATACAATCTAATCTGTCCTCAGATTATAACATGTACTTTTTAATACAGTATTTAAGTTTAATTATTCATGAAATACACGAGTATGATATTATAAATAGAATGATAAATAGATAACCCTGTTTAATTTTAAACTCGTCTTTCAAATTTTTAACACTATAGAATTCTATTATACATATTTATAAACTTACGTTCCAAATAATAAGGTTATAGAAGGTTGTATATAATCGATTGTAATAAAAACCAAGAGGGATAAGTTACAAGTATTATATTTTAATAAAATTTCACATTGTTTATTATTATATGTTGCTTTTCACTTTGTAATTAACTCGTTATACTAAAAATAGAAAGAAAAATAAAAGTCATTTAAGAGTATTTTAAAACTAATTCTTTATTTTAATTAAAGATTTATTTGTTCGAATTTCTAGTATTAGCTTAAATAACTTAATGCAACTTAAATTACTTATTAGGCAGAAACTTAATTTAAATTTGGTTTAATAAAAGCTTTTGAAACAACGCTTCGTAAGTTCAACTTTGATATTTCGTTTAAATCCCTATTTTATTGCAGATAATTCCGGCTCTTATTCAAGTAAATGTTGGTAAAGTTTCATTATTGAAACTTGCATTTACTCTTTCGGATAAAAAGAATACATTACTACTAAATAGTTTCATATCTGTAGTTATATATCAAAAACATGATTATTTTCAGGAAAACAAAAAAAAAATTGCTATGTTTCTTGTAAACTCTTCAATTTGATTGCTTTAAATACAATATTACTTTACAAATTAAATAGAAATATATAGAAGAGACTACGTATTACTCTTTAGGTAATATGTAGAGATTACACCAGATGATAACAGTGATTCTCGAAATCAAAATTACTATTTATATCGTCTAATGTTTGAATTTAAAACAATACTCGACAATTTAACAATTGTTTTTATTAAATATTTCATGTTATATGTATTTTGAGAGTAACATAAAATACAATAATAGAGTAGAATAAAATTTAATAGCTAAACGATGTGGTTGTTCTCTTTAATTATTGAAATGAATAAAACGTTTAAATAAAATCAACAAAATAATAAATAAATCAATATTTTACTGTTGTTATTTACATATAATTATATATTTAATATACAGTAGAAAATTGTAATAATTTTACAGGATTATAAAATAGAAAATACGGTTTTGCACGCATAGTTTTAAGAGAAAATCGTTTCCTGTAAATCGGTCTTACCTGCATGAATAAAAGTTATGCTGGAAAGCATACAGAGATATGCAGGCGCTAATATTATTTTCTATATAAAAGAATAAATCAAAAATTCAATATGCTCACACGAAATAAATTTTTTTGCATAGAAATGCATAATAAATATTGTCTTCTATAGGAATATAGAAAAGAGAAATTGCAGTTTAACACGAAAATATAATAAATTGAATAAAATTTAAATAAATCGGTGTGAAAGAATATAAATCGTAAACCATTTTAATACAAGAAAACATAAACGATCTGATAAAATATATATCAAAACATTACATTAAATATCCTATAACTCACTACAGTTATCACAAAGATTTTTATAATTGTTAAACAAGAATTCCGAATGTTTTATTTCATTTTTCAACAAAGAAATAAATATAAATTTCATTATAATGAAGTCAATAAATATTACTAATTTATTTATTTGTCATTAATAAGAAAAATAAATCCAATATCAAAACATAAAATCATCTTTCAGAAGAACGTTTAAGTTCTGTTATCACTTTCATATAATTACTTATTATTACATTACAGTTCTCGTGAACAATATGTTTATCTAAAGCTTTATAATTATTTCATATATGTATAAAGAATTAAAAAGCATCTCTTCGCTTTCAGGAATATTAAATACAGGGAATTATAATACTTTATGCTCTTTGAATGAGATTGAATAGAACATTAAATGACATTCCTATATATTTCAAATAGTTGTTTAGAAAGGAAACTTAATAATTTATAAAGTTTCCAGAGAATTTTATTAAAAATTTACACGTCGAAAGAAATTAAATTATTACTCAATCTGTTCTAATTTTCTTCTTCACTTCACTCGAGAAAATACGAATTGTTTTTTTTTCTTATTAATATTCAATTCTGTTTTAAAAATAAAATATATGAAGGAAATAGTTTTGTTATTTAATTATCTAGTACTTATTTCTATCTTCGTCCCGTTAACATACTAGTAACTTAGATAACGACGTAATATCACCTTCAAATATTTATTAGATTTCTAAATATCAGTTAAATTTTACTAAAGTTTACTTTTATTACTAAAGTATTGTCGATATAAAAATAATACGGCGAGAGAGAAGTGTTTTGAGAGCGAGAGGAATGAACTGATGCTTTCGTGATATAAATATCGAATAACTGTTTGNCAAGTATTGATACATTCCTATTTTTCTTTCTACCTTCTAAATAATGAATTATTGCAAAAGACAATTTGGCTTATGTCAGTGGCATTAAAATTATCTTGGGCTATATTGTAATCAATAGAAGTACAGTTTATTTGTTATTGGTAATATAACTCGAGATTAGACGACGTCGAGTGGAGTTAAAATTTTATATTTAGGAATAGATAGGCAAGAGAAATGTTTATTTTATTGCGATTGTCACTATGTATCAATCATAAAAAATTAAATAGAATTGGTAGCTCTAGGTTTGTATTTCTAATATAGTAAAGGTAAAATGTTTGTCGTCCCAAATATTATTGTGCAGTCTAAAAATATGAAATTTTAAAATCAATCGTATATTTTATCGTTTAAATCTGTGAAACATACAAATCATTTTACAAGTCTCTTCAATTTTATGTAAATAAATGTAACAAAACTTACCAAAAATTCATTGCCATCATTGCTAAAATTTCTGGAAAATGAGAAGAAATCTTTCGAAACGTCCTTCAAAACATCTCAGAAAATATATAAAAGTTGTAGGAAAATTACTCAAGAAATTAAAATATCTTTGTCCTTTATTTATAAATAATCAAATCACAATGATTAAAACAAATGAATTTTTTTTTTTTATAAATGACTCGAAGTATATTTTTCTTTCTAATAATTTCACTGTAATGTTAATTTTTTGGAATGAAAGGAAGAATTCACAGCTCCAAAGTCTAATACTGTATAATATTTTAGAAAAACAATATTTTGTAAAGACTATTTGTTTTAATTCTTTAATAAAACATTCAGATATCATGTATTGTCATTGTTTAAATTCGTACAGACTTTTATAAGGAAGTTCTTACAGAAATATTATGAAAATTTCGATGTTATTTAAATATTAAAATTAAAAAAAATGTTATCACAGTGACGGTTATATCGCAATTTATATGCATTCAAAGTATGAACTGCTAAACATAGAGTGATTATGTTCTGAGCAAGTATGACTTATCGAAAAACTTCTGACGAATGCCCTAAATATGGAGGAAAGAATTAAATGGCAGCGGGTTTCGGTTCTTTCTTAAGAGGTAATAATTCTTTACTTCCTTTAAAAGATGTCTCCAGCTCCTTCTCCTTGATTCCATTGGTTGGTTTCTTTCTTCCTTGAGAAAAACTCCACGTTACGACCGTGCTGAACGTCATCCTCGAGCCCTCTAGAAAAACAAACGTAACGATTCATCCGTCTTACCAAATCAACTTATCCTACCTTTCTCTTATTATTCGATCTTTAAAACCGATTATTCTATTAGAGTGAATTAATGCATTGGAGCCTACAGAATGTCTACTTTAAGAGTTAATATCGCTATTCAAACGTGAGTAGATAAATTCTTTAATTATTTAATTTTAATATTTACATTCAAATCTGTTTATTTACAGCCGTATTTATAACTAGTGATAATCATTTACTCATTAAAAGTAAAACAAATACTACTACTGGTCAATTTATGTTACTTATGGATCAAAATATGTGTCGCATACGAAAGGAAAGAAATCACTTACTTGGACCGCGAAAAGTCCTTTTATTATAGCTACACTTCAGAAGTTTAAGAAAAGATTGTCGAAAATTATTGTTGAAACCTCCATAAATAACGGGGTTGAGCGCGCTGTTGGAGTGAGCAGCGAATGTGGCCAAATAGTTCATTTTCAGGAACCATTCTGGCAACTGAAACATAAAAATCGTCAATACTTTAAAAGGAATACTAGAAAACAATTTATAATAAACGATAAAATAAAAAAAAAGTTATATATTTGGCATCGTTTTCTAATATCAGTGGTGTTAGAAAACCGTATGAAATAAATAAATCAATAAAAAGAAAGAGAAATTCAAAATATAACAATAAATATTCAATAAATAATTATTAAAATAAGATGTTTTTAAGGTCAATATTCAACAGACTAGAAATAATTACGAAAGTATTTCCAACAAAAAGTTTATCGATTCAATAATTTTATCGCTCAGAAAATAATGGAAAATATTATTGATTGTTCAGGAAAAGAAACTTCGTTTATTATCAACCACCTTTCAAATAAATCTAAATCATTTTTCTTATAAACGTTGGAATATTCTAATAACTTCCCTTTTTTCATGACGTTTTCTGTAGCTCTTTGAAACATCCTACTCCTCGATTTATGAAAAATGGAGGAAGAACCTCAACGAATAACTTTTAAAGTTAAAAAGCTCTTACAGTAATTTTAAATTTAATAACGCAATAATTCTTGGTAAACTCGGAAAATGAATGCAAAGAATTCCCACAGTTTCCATTAGGATGAAACTTCTTTTCACTGTACAATTAATTGAAAGCTTTGCAAGATGTGTAAATAAAATGTATAAGATTAACACTCTAAACTATTTAAAAATATAATAGTAATGGTTTAATGGTGCAGAAACATACAAGAAATAATCTATAATTGAAATTTAATGTCATTAAAATATAATAGAAGCGTAACAAGTGTTATGACTCTTGTTAGAATTATGACAGAACCAAAAGAATAAAAATTATAAAATATTCTAAATAATTAACAAGGAAAATCATTCTTTAGTTTGTAATGCTAAACTTTTCCATTAAAGTAATTGAACTACCGTAAAGATAATGGAGTATATTTTGTTCAAAATAAGAAATTGTTAATGTTTTAATGTTAAAATTGTAATAGGATCTTTTTATAACGTATTAAATCTCTTGTAGACAAGATTCTTCAATTGAGTTATTACAGATAAATATTATTTATGCATTCGATAGGTACAGTACTTCTTAATTTATGGTACAAAAGTTTATTTCAAATATATATAGGCTATATATACTTTAGGTGACTTTTATAAAGATTAATGAGTTATAAAGATTCTTTTTTACACGTAAACTTCATTTTCCACGAAAGTATATACTTTGATATTATTGAAATTTTCTATTTTTGGATCTTTTTAGCCAGAAAAATCAATTCGTATAATCGAATACTCAATAAATAAATTTTAAAAATATGAAAATTGAATCCGGGTTATCGTTTATTGTCTTTTATTAAATTACAACATTCACTGGAAGAGAAATAGATTCGTTCATCTCTGATATCAATTGTTACTCTAGTTGATCCATAATAAATTCCCGATTTTACTTCACAGAATCTCTTCAGTATAAACTTTTCAAATAACTTTTATACTTCGAATAATAGATTCTTTTTTAAAAAATTGCAGCCAGAAGAAATTACATTAAAAAGCATCGTAATGTAATTTTCTATATTTACAAGCAAACTATATTTGCGTAATACAAAATAATAAGTACAGTTTGTGCGTCAAAATTATAGTTATAGCACGGTATGTGTGGTGTAGAAGCTGATAGTTTTTTAACAATCAGCTTCTAGACGTCACATACTGGAGATTTTCTCAATATAAGAGCAGGAAAGTACAGTACGTGCGTAACCCAACGGTTTATCACTAAGTATCTACAGGCTTTTAGCATTACTATCGTAACTCTAAGAGCCCTGTAGATAGGAACAGAACCGTGTTATTTACGATATACCGTTCTCTCTAGGCCAGGGTGGTGAACCTTTTTGAATATACTATTGATGTACCCATGCTCTAGGCAATTTTTGTAATAATTTTGTCAAATATGTCGTAAACTATCTACACCACTTAATGAGCACGAATAAGATGTGCTGAAGACAAAGTACAGTACATAACAGCGTTAATAGTCGTGTCCGCATTATCAGAGAACATCCTCACTCTATTTTAAGGATGCGAAGTTACTTATAAATGCTAGGAACCAAATAAAAAGGAAGTTAACCATATACATATCAAAAATAACTCTATATCAAGCAACTTGATACAGAGATATCTTTGCTGGAATGCAAAGTTGCTTGCATTCCAGCAAAGATGCTGGAATGCAAGCAACTTTGTGACAAGTTAAAAAAGTCTTATTAAGTGATAATATTGAATAGTAAGTACGCTTTTTTTAGAATATGGACGAAACAAGTCATTTACGAATCCTCTAGTTTCCCGTTACTTATGTTAGTTGTTTTATCATTACAGATAAGCTCTAATGATTCGATTTTCCTGAAAATTTCTAGAAAAATTGTCCCCTAATAAACAAACCTGCCTAAAAAATTTCAAAATTTTGTGACAAAAGAAACAAGAGTTATTAAGCTTGAATATAAGTGAAAAAATCGTATCTTAGGGGGCAGTTTTTGATCTTTAGCCATATTTTCCTTGGTATATAACTTCCGGGAATGTAATTGGGATGATGACTGCGACACGCGACTCGTCAAAAATATATACGTGCAGAGATTCTGTGAAATATGAATCTCACTATTTAAATACGAATTAACGAGTAAAAGCAGGCACGTATTCTGTGAAGAGTGACTGCAAAGTTTGAAGCCTGTTAGAAATCCTTCTATCATAAACGTCAGTGTCAAGAAATATGTAATTGGCAAATTATTAATCTTTTTAAATCAACATATATTGATCATATTCAAGTGCCCACTATAAACTCTGCGTTTTTCCTCCTCTTGAAGCATTGTTCCGCAGAGGATCTAGCATCATCTTGAAGTTGCGTGATGAAAAGACTTTCAGTAATAGTATAATCTTCCTCATCTTATTGAAATGGTGTCTTAATAATAATGCAATATTTAAAAATATTTATGCAAATTTTGCACGTCTTTCTATTATCCATCGCTTAAATAGTAGCAAAGAGTGTAAAGGAATTTTCTACTGTCAGCAAGTAACAAAAACTCCCGTTGATTTTTCTGCGGTTGCTGTGGCCAATAACTATACAAGAACTAAAGTAAATCGAACATTACTTTTATAGAAATGAATAAATTTATAAAGCGAAGTCATATAATTTAAGAGTTCGGTTCATTACTTGGAAAATTTCTATTCATATTAATTAAATATCGAGATAAGAAAATCGTAAATTTCGTGCTGAGATATAAAAGATGGAATACGTACAAGAGCTTCCTTTTGGCCGAATTGAGAATAGAGGACAATGATTTGAAATGGCATCCAACAGAGCACGAATACAACCAGAACCACGCACACCATCTTGATCACCTGAAAGATATTTAACATTTGTATTATTTATTGTATTTTTTTAAAGAAAGAATGTCTAATAAATCATTAATTGTTCTAGATACTTAGACTTTTTTTTTACATATAAAAGATGAGAAAGATTAATGTTTTAGTGTAATGTAACGTTATCTCTCCGTGATACTCGTTTGATACCCGAATTTCCTTGTTATAAAATACCAGAAAGTTTAAATAATATGACAATAAAACATAAAATTATAATCATTATGTCTGTATTGTAACAGATTGTTAGATCTAACCAAATTTTGTTAATAATGAATTGAAATTTTCACTTTTCACTCGAGATACACACGACCCCCTTTTCCCTGAAAAATTTCACAAAATTTTGATAAAAAACACAGGGCTTAGTAAACCTTTTTCTATTCGTGGCACACCTATGACTCGACATGACTCAACATGTCACACCAAAATGTTATTCCTCTCAAAAACGTATGATATGATACAATTAATAGAATTTCGTAATGCCATAAACCTATTATTATTATGTTGAGTTTTGTGAGTTACACTAGGTTGACACCGATGGCTGTATACTATGCCGGACCAGAACCAACATCAAAACAAAACAAAAATTAAATAAGCGTGTATTCAGGAATTTCTTAACAATATGACGTGTATTCAATATAGAAGCCTTCTGTAGTGTGATGTATGTGTTTCTATTCAATTTTAATGTTCCCAGGCTTTTGTGTAGCGTTTGTGGAATGACACCTGTAGAGGAGAGAACGACAAATACAATAAGCACCCTATCCATCCTCCACGAATGCCTTATTTCCTGGGCAAGTTCTGTGTACTTGCTGATTTTTTCACTCCATGTGTTTTGTACATTGTGAGTGTTTGGAACGGATATGTCTATAATGTATGTGATTTTATTGTGTTTGTTAATGAGTATGATGTCTGGTCTGTTATAATAAATTGTTTTATCTGTAATTATGGCTGTCGTAGTACAGTTGGGCGTGCTGTTTTCCAATACTGTCTGTTGAACGTATTTGTAGTATGGTTTGTGGATGTCTAATAATTTGTGTTCTTTGCATGCTCTTGGTGTAATTGCTACTTGAACAGATAATATGTATATTATCTGTCTCTGCCAAGAGCTTGCAACCAGAAGTGATGTGCTGCATAGTTTCTGGCATGATGTAGCATTTTCTGCATGTATCATTTGTGAGCGTTGTATCCTTGAGTACAGTATGTGTTTTCTGTAGTTTTTAGTATTTATTACCTGATCCTGTATGGCAATCATAAACCCTTCTGTCTCCCCAAAGAGGCATCCCCGAGCTAACCAGCTATTTGACGCAGTTTTGTCAACAAAATCCTGTGCTAGGTCATAGGGATGTCTGCCATAGAGTATCTTTTGAACCCACTATTGCTTGATGGTGTCTATGATTTTTATATGTTCTGTCTTGTCCATATTATGCATATGTAAGTTTAATGGTGATTTTATTTGTGTCTGCTGGAGTTATTGCTTTATGTATCTGTGATGTTTCTTGTTTTTTGTAGAAAAATTCTCGCAGTGACTGTATTTGTTTGTAGTGAAGATTTATTGTGTCAATCAAGCCACGTCCGCCATCTTTACATGAAAGAGTTAATCTTTCTATGGCAGATTTGAGATGACGTTGTTTATGCTTAGTAAGTGTTGTTCTTGTTTTCATTTGGAGTTGCTCAAAGTCTGTATAAGTCCAATGTATAACTCTAAAAGAATAAGTGAGTACTGAGACGACATATGTGTTTATTGCTTTAACATCATCTCATTTTATCAGTGAATGAAATACAAACATAAGAAACGCAACAACTGTGATAAAAATATATAAATAAAACTTGAAATTAATAGAATATATAAAAGTTCACGTCACACCTTTCACTTTGTGACGGCACACTGATTGCGGAACACTATATTAAACTACAAAAGAGTGAACACATCCATAAACATAAACACTAACGTTCATATGTATAGCAAAAAAAAAAGCTTCGAAATGTTTTCCATTTTCGACATTTCAAGGTGTATTGAGTCCAAAAATGTAAAAATCTAGAGGGGTAATTTTTTTGACCAATTGCCATACTTTTCCTCTGTTATATGTATAACATCTGAGAAAATAACGAGACAAGTATGATACAAAAATCTATAAATAGCATTTCTGAAAATGTTTGAAATTCAGAACGGAGGCAAATTGATACATCGAGATTTCTTTTATACACAAAAATTTTGAAATCGATAATTCTCTAGAGATATTTTGATACTTATTCGTCTACGTGAGTTGACGATTTTAATTTCAAATGGCAACATTTTTCTTTTTATTTTTAAATATTAGACAATAAAATTTTATTTTTTTTTTCTTCCAGAAAAAAAAGGAAAATGTTGGTTCTTTTCTTTAATACAAAATAAGCAAATATTGTAATTTAAAATAGAATATCATTACGTGATTTTCTTCAATACAACCCAATATCAGTCCAGTTATTTGCATAATTCTGCTAATATACAGAAGTACAACAGATTAAGAGTCCTGTAAAGCCTTCAAAATTAATTTAATGACAGATCAATATACTAACAAAGCATCATATTTCTTTTGATTTGTTTCCAAGTAAATCGATTAATAAGAAAATAATGTCTTAAACAATAATAATTCTTGTTCTTCTGTGAAGTATTTACTTAAATACAACTTGCATGAGTGCTTGTTCAGTCGTTTCTCTTAAATGTTATCGATTTCCTTTCGATCAAGCGAAAGTATCACATATTACTTGATGCCATTATTATTTTATTTCGTGATTTCTACTGATTTTAAATTCTATCTATATTGTTTAATAGGATAATATCTTATACCAGCGTTATGCTCGAGCAACCCAATATATTTGTCTGTAATGGTTCCACGGACCAAATGTTTATAATATAATTTTTTTGTAAAGAGTCACAAGAGAAGTCACAGACTAACTATATATACAAGAATAAGAGTAGAAAACAATAATACAAGTAAAAATAATTAATCAGAGAGCATCAATCGTTTATAAAAGAATAAGATGTAATTTTTCCATTACCTTCTTCTTAGCTTTGTGTTGAACATTCATGTTAGCCAAATTTTTCTCTCCGGGAACTTTATTTATCCATAATCTCCAGATGATGAGGGAATAAGAAGTACTCATGATAATAATTGGCAGGAAGAAGAGAGCCACTGTGACGAAAGTATAATAGATCTTCTTTCCTCTGACTATTTTAACGCATCTACCTAATTCTTCCGAATAAACCACTTCGTGAGGCCAAAAATCAGAGCACTGGATTTCTAAGAAATCACTCCACTGAAATAAGGGAAAATAATTTGATATTTTATGCGACATTTTCGTCAGAATATATTAGAGTTGGTTTATTTAATAATGGAAGTTCTACGTTACACTCACCTGTCTCTCCACATGTGTTCTATAGATAGGAAATGGAATGGCGGCTATCATAGAGACGATCCAAATAACGGCGATAACGGCTCCCGTCCTCTGTTTGGTAATCCTGACGTGAAGTGGGAACATAATAGCGATAAATCGGTCGCAAGATATGGCAGAAAGAGTCAATACACTTGCCGTCAGACACGCCACTGCCAATTAGAAAAGGTTTTTAATCATATAACCATTGTTGAAATTTCTTTCCAGTCACTAGAATTAATATAGATTAACTGACAATAATAGCTTGGCTTTCTCGATTGTATTTTCAGCAATTGTAAATACCTCAAACTCTCGTGGAGTGCTTCTCTATTCATTTATAAACATAAGAAATTTTCTTTTATATTAGAAAAAATTGACATAAAGACACATAAATTGCAAAATATCTCAATGAGTAAACAAAGGAAAACATAGAAGCTAATCTTTTACTAACAATAATAAGCATCTTAAACAAAATCGATTAATCCTCATCAGATCCTTTATACAAATATTTACCAATAGAAGAAAACTAACAAACGGATACTTCTATAATGTCAAGACGTTTCACTGATCAAATATTTCCTAACAAATTTCTCTTAATTTTCTCACATCTGAAATTAAATTTACAATTGAAAAAGTTTCTAATATATATTAAAATATTTAAACAGGAATTCTCTATAACAAATTTATATTAATCGGGTTTTGATTTTTCTCTGTTTAATACAACACTAGAATTATAATAATTCGAGTATGAAAACAAAGCTTTAGAGAATATTGAGATATTAAATGACAAATCAATGAAAACTTTCCACGTTTCACGTCGTGTTTAATTGCATTCGAAGTTTAATTTTAAAAGATTTTGAAATGTTAAATTATTCATTTATATAGAAATATTATAATATATTTTTCTCAATAATTAAAGACATATTTTAATTTTAATGATTCATAAATATTTCCTTCCCAAATTGTTACACAGACATTAAGATAATTGGAAAAATGCATTGACAGTTTTCTTAAATATTAATGTAACTTCCTCTCTAAGAGCGTAGGTTTTAATTTGTTACAATAAACGATATTTTATTTATCAAATAATTAACGGAGAGGATTAAAAAAATACCTTTTTTTCTGTTATTAAAAGAAAAAATCGGAAGCAAAAACGGAATTTTAACTTGATTAAAATGTTGATTTTAATAAAATAAAATTAGATTTTTTTTTCCTTTTCTAAAATAAATCATTAATACCTTTCTTTTTATGACTTTCAGGAAATAAATCCAATTTTAATGAATTTTAATTAACTAAAGATTAAGAAATCGACTAGACCCAAATCCCGTTTGTGATTTAATAAAAATACTTCATTTATTAATAATTTAAATAATTCTTCTGTTTTTAATTTGATTCCATTGCATTATTTTCATTTTAAATGTAAAGAGTTTAAACACTGAAAAATCCATTCATTCCTGTGAGAAAATAGTTTTTTATTCTATTAATAAATAATGAAATACGCCATTTGAAAAAAACCAAATATCATCCTTTAGCATACATCTCCTAGTCAATGAAGTCGAGTTAAATGGAGGTCATATTTAATGATCACCCTCTCTGTATTTGTATTACATCAACTGGAAACAATTTTGACTCGAAAGTCAATATAAATCTTTTGATATTATTAGAATCAAATATTCCATAATCTGAAGTAAAATATGAGCAGTGTCATGCCAAAAGTTGCCTTTTTTATTTTTCCAAAGTTTCCACAAAGTATAATAAGATGTTTACCTCTTATACACCGTAATCTTTTTATGTGTGCTATTCGCTAATATACTTAATGGAAGATGGAAGTTTTGAACTCCTAGTACTATGGATTTAGACAATGGAATTTCTCGTTGCATTTAATATAGGAAAAATTAAGTTTAAGCACGATACTTTCAATTGTTTGTAAAGAATTTATTATACTATACAGTATTATCACTCAAGTTTTCTTTTCGTATTTTCATAAAAGTGGATAAGGCGACTTTTGGCTTGACACATCATTTATTTCAGTTACGTATTTTTGTAATGGATAATGCCCAAATGGAATATATTTTGGGGAATAACTTGAAACTATTATGTGAATATCAATTATATTACTTTGTATGTTCTTTGTCATATCTTCGTTCTGTTCTTTACGCACGTCAACACCGCAAGTGTGATTAATTTTAAAGAACATTTAGATTTAGGCCAATATAGAAGAATCATCTATTATCCAATTCTCAAACTTTATTTCGAGTTTAATAAATGTCATAAACAGAAGTTTGAAAATATTAGAAGAGAAAACTTACTTTGAGCAAAGGGGTTAAAACTGCACATAAAAGGCCCCAGAACGTAGATGGGTTCTGTAAGATCGTTGCACAGATGAACCCACATGCAAGTCAGACAGATCAACAGGTCGGCAACCGCCAAGTTGACCAGATAGACGTTAATGGTGGTACGCATGGAATTGTCGAGTCCCACAACGAAGACGATACCTAAATTGCCCACTATTGTGGCACACATCAATAACAAATAACTGGCGATCTTTACGTACTCCTTCCAAGTGAATTCGCGAAGGGAAATGTCGCTAGGAAATTCTAGAGAAGAGAAATTAAGATAATGCCATTCCGAATCGTTACACATGGCATCCTCCATTTCTAGGACCGGAGTAAACGGATAAAGACAGAAGACCAGTCTCCGTATAACGCTTATAAACGAAATATCAGGAGCGCGCATCTCTCGCTAAGCGCTTTTTCAGTTGGTCGATGGAACAATGACGTAGTGTTAACTCTTCTTCTAAACGTCCGATCGATCTGATGTAGATATAGAAAAATCGCGCTCTTTTCTCTCTAACGGAAGATAATTATTACCGTTAAAGGAAAAAGATGATTTAACATGTAACGTGATGACCTTCTCCAAGCCAATTACAAAAGAAACGTGCTATAAATTAAATAATAAGGAGCCATTTTAGTATCATTTTGAAGAGAAAATATTATTTTTTTTCGCGTGTGTTCGATCGTGGAGGATAGTAAATCTATAAAATAGCTTTTGTAAACACGTATCAGGAGATATACATGAAAAGTGTTTGCATTTTTCTCATGGAAATTCTTTATTTCTGATTATTCTACTTATTAAATTAATGACTCTTTGGAATGTTTAAGAGAATTCAGAACTTTCTACAAAGAATTTGTATCGTAGGCTACGTAAATTTGTTTTCGAACGAACCTCCATCCAAAATTGCTTCTGTTAAATAATGAATTTTTCATAATGTTTAATTAATATTGTTTCATAACGTGTAAACAACTAAAAATTGCAATGCCTTCGTCAAATATTATGTAAAATTGTATAATAAAATAAACTGTACAACTTAAATTAAATCTAAATCTAATCCTTTAACAGGCTTTTCTGCTACTGAAAGAACCAGGTGACTTTGATCCAACTTGTAGCTACATTTCCGCAGTAACTGTCACTATATAAATCACAAATTACATTTACATATTTTTATATAAATTTTAAGATTTTAACATTTCCTTTTTCTAGAGTTAACCTGCCCCATTGTATCTGAAAAAATAAAGTATAACATTTATTTTTATTTAGAATTTACTTATATTGTTGAAATCAAAATTTTATGAACACTTTTAAATGATTTCTACTGTCAGTTTTGTACAAGAAAATAACGTTAAATCTCTATTTTCTCTGCAATGATTTATGTGGTATTTATACTTTTATATCGCCTGTGAAGTCTTCTTATTTCGAGCCCTTTTTTTGATATTTTCTTGATTTTTTAAAGTATTTTTCATTGTTTTCAGACAGAAATTTCTATTTATACAGCAGTCTTTATGGTTGCAATTTCAAAGAAATACTTTCATCCTTTAAAATCACTATGATTACTTTCTATCTCCGAATTTTTACTTTTATCTTTTATAGGAATTTATATATTTTTATCTCTAATTCTTCCTACTGAAATCATTCTATTGGTATTTATTTATCGACCTCGTAATATGTGATTATTAAAATGCTTTCCAGTTCAATTATTGAGTAAATTTTTCACAGATTGATACTATTATCTCTACTAAACACGTATCACAGACATTTTATTAATATTATTTTTTTAAATTAAATAAACGTCATTTCTTCGTGAGGCATTCAGAAGATTTAATTTTGAGTTGTTTCTATTTCTCTTTTAAGATCTTTCGGGATTATCCTCCATTTCCATAGCATATGTCGAAGACGTTAAGTTAAAGACAATCCTAAATAATTTCGATCAGGCATTAGTCTTTTTTACGTTCTTTAAATACAAAGTTAATCTTAATAAAACGACAGTAACACGTTTCTCTGTTATTGACAACAATCGATAAACGATCAGAGAATAACCTTGGATTCTAAGTGCTTTCATAATGTCGTAAAGAGCTTAGAAATTCTCAATGATACTTCATTTGTAAACAGGAGATATTAACACTATAACATTTACCCAACGTCATAAAACGTTTGCTTTTATTGTTTCCTTATCTACTACGAGTGTATATTATATAAATAATTATAAAACGAAGTGTATTTGATCGTTGGTGTATATTTAACAAAATATGGAGTACAGTCGACTCCCTATAACACTGTCGATTATTCCGTTTTATATGAATTCCATGTTGTACGAGTCACTTAGATTTTACATATACGTGTTCCGGGCTGTAGACGGCTCAGTTATTTGTAAAATCTAAGTGACTCGTACAACATGGAATTCGTATAAAACGGAATAATCAACAGTGTTATAGGGGGTCGACTTGTATCATTCTTTCTTGAAATATTCCCTTACTTATTTGGTGTAGTAAAAGAGAAACGATAATAAAATGATACGAAAATTTTATACATTTTACACTTGATAATATAACCGAGAAGATTCTGCACAAACAAAACATTATTTTGCTCTTAAAAGTTATAAAAACTAATTACTTCGCTTCACTTATTAAATAAAATCGATGGTGTACTCGACTTCAATTATGTTTTTGCTTCATTAAACGAAGGTTCGAGTGTCTTGTTTTTGAAATTTTATCTAGTTAAAAATTCGTTTTTTTCCCCTTCTTTAAAGTGGGTCGAATATCTGTCGGTATTTCGGCTTAATTAAAAAATGGAGATTTTTACCCTTTTCGCTCTTTTCTTATTTTCTAACTAAGAATCATTATTCTATACTTTCTAAAAGAAACTTAATTAATGTTTGGATTTTGTCATAACATCTGTTTTCTTACCGACACGTTAAACGAAGTATCAGGATACAATCGATTATCTCCTGAAGCTGAAGAATTTTTTTTTTAGAATAAGACAATGCATTCCTTGGGCGATCTGCCAAATAGGGGTGCCATTTGTGAGAACTCTCTATGAGAAACTATCCTCTATTTAGGTGAAGATGAACCTTCGATTAATGAAAGTGGTCTTTAACAACGAATTCTGATTCTGCTTGGGAATGGACAACAATTATGCTAGTGTATCGAAGACTATCTATAAATGCTTCAATCATTTCGGATATCGCACTGCGCTTACTGCTGGTATGCCGGTGAAAATTACACACAAGGGTATGCTATGGGCACGCAGTAGGAATCCATACTAAACCAGTGGCGCGTTATAACTTCATGGGGCACAGGAGAATTTCAATTAGGGAGCTTCACGAAATTCCATGGGTTTAACCGTTTTTTTTCGAGGGAATGTTTTGGGGGTCGTATTTTCTTATAAGAGATTAGTTTGGAGTTCCCTCTTGGTATGGGCTCCAAGCAATTTCATTTCTTGCCCGTAGGATAACGCGCCACTGTACTAAACCATAATTTACTTCTGTAAAGACGAAAGAGTTTTCGATAAAATAAATATATTCGCTTTAATCCTCAAATATAGTAGAATTTTGGAGGAGGAGTTTGTTGAATTATGCTTCCGACACAAAGAAACCAACAAAATATCCTAATTCTGCTTCAAAACAATTTTTCTTTTATAATATTTGAGTTAGAGTATAAAATAATAACAATAAAACATTTGTGGATTGATGCTAATAAAATCTCGAAAATCTTATGGATCTATTCTATTTTATGAGTTATTTCGAAGATTTAACACAATAAACCTTTGAAAATAATAAAAGAAAAATAGTTTTGACTAGAATATATAAAGTATAATATAATATTAATGTTTGAACAGATAATTTTTTTTATTTTTAAAAAAATTTTCTTAAGTTATAGTAGTTTTTTTTAAATATAATCGAGTTTAAAAACTTATGTGTGTACAGGTATAGATTTTAATTCGAACTTCTTGAAAGACATTCCAAGGATATAAAATAGTAAACACTTCAGAGATAAAGGAGGCGATATTTCTCTAAAGAAGTATATTAATTCATGTGAATGAATTTCCTTATCTTCGAGTAGAATTCTTTACACGAGAGACACTCGTTAAACACGAAGCACTTCAGATGTATCAGTGAAGAAAATATCCTCGGGTTTGTTTGCTTCTCCAAATATCTTAATCGGGTCTTTCTTACAAATGACTAATTAAATAAAACGTGATTTGTTTATTTTTCTTTATAATCTTGTGATGGGATGATTGTTAATGTTACTTAAACACTCGTTTGCAGTATTGAAAATTCTTTATTTTGCCTGCGTAACATCGCGGTTATGAGAAAATTAAATAAAAATTTAACTAAATTGGGATGTAGGATATTAAGTTTTCTTTTTAAAAAAAAATTTTATCTCACTTTTTATGGAGTGCCAATAAAATATTTTTTTTATTTCTCCTAAGGTTAAAGAAAAGAGATACACATTTAAGTTAGATAAAAATTCCATTTTCTTAATTCATTTTATCATAATTGAAAGTTATGAACTGATAATTCGATAAAACAAATAACATAATCGATGAATACGTCTTTGTAAATACAATATTTTAAGTAAATCAATTTGCAAATTGACCTTTGTACTTTTTCCTCTTTATAACCTTATCGAATTGATTGTTAAGTAATTAAAATTTAAATTTAATAGTGTTTTTTTTTCTTCTTGTTTATATTTGTATATCTATTTAACAGTTTATATTTTCTTTATTCCGTTCGATTATAAATAGGCCTATATCTTTAATATAGACAGACAAATGACAAACGTTTGTTTATATTAAAAATATTTATGTCTGTTCTTCGTCTGATATTTCGAAAACAATTTAAAGGTAGTAAATTTAGTTTTTTCAGATTGTTTTAGAGATCCCGTTGAATTTTGATACGAAAATTATCAAATGATATTAAAGGTAGGAGAAATAGCACAATGCAAGGAGTAAAAGGTGGTGGTTTCTCTCTCTCTCTCTCTCTCTCTCTCTCTCTTTTTTCTATTAGAATAAGTGCACCATTCCTATGGGTGTATAACACTAAGAATACACGATACGAAGTAAACATAAAATTAGTATTCGGCTTTTAGTGAAAATTAAAATATAAAACTAGATATTAGAAATTATAAATAGTATTTTCTTCCATGTTTTTTGAACGTAATTGTAAAAAGCATCAAACAGTGGCATCTGAACAAGCTTATGGACATGGCCACCCGAAACCAAGTGTAAAGATTTCTAATTTCAGAATAAGTGTACGTTGATCGTAAATTGGACAATGATAGATCATATGGTCGACGGTGTCAAGGTTTTCTGTAGAACAA